CTTTTAGAAAGATAGTGATTACTAAATTCCGGGAGTTTTGGATTTACTGGTGATGGAGGGAGAGGAGCAGGCTGAGAGGAACCTCTAGTGGCCATGGGCTTTCTGTGCAGCAAAGCCTCATGGCAGTGCAGAGCTGGCATGAGAATAATCTGAGAATTGCTTCTGCCAGCTCAGCAATTCCTCTTTTCCACACTGCCTGAGAGCAGAGCTCTTAGTGATTACTAAATTCCGGGAGTTTTGGATTTACTGGTGATGGAGGGAGAGGAGCAGGCTGAGAGGAACCTCTAGTGGCCATGGGCTTTCTGTGCAGCAAAGCCTCATGGCAGTGCAGAGCTGGCATGAGAATAATCTGAGAATTGCTTCTGCCAGCTCAGCAATTCCTCTTTTCCACACTGCCTGAGAGCAGAGCTCTTGCTCTTGGAAACATCCATGTGCAGGAGCATAGGAAGCCTGGAGCTGTGTATGAGGTGGATATCGTGGGGTTTGAGGTGTTCCTGGAAAAAAACAAAAACCTGCCTGACAGGAGGTTCATTTAAACCCCAAAATGTAGCTGAATTTCACTCTTATTTTTTTCCCATTTGCATCCTTAATCCCTGTGTGGTCTGATCACAACTTGCAGCTGTTGCTGGGCAGTACACACCTCTAAATTCCTTTTGATACTCAGGATGGGCTGGGGCAAACTATGCTCCTTGGCCCTGCAAAGGGAAGAAGGCTCAGGTCAGAATTTGCCAGTCTGGAGGCTTTTTTACAGTCAGTTTGGCACCTGCTATCAACAGAAGCCTAAAATTATCAGTTCTTTGAGAGAATACATGCTCTGAGATTTCTCTGTTCCAGGGTACCTTTTGCTATGATGTCTCCAGGAAGGAAAAGACCAGAATGAAGGACAAAGCCAACAGCCTCCACAGTCAAACACCTTTAATATAATCCAAGATTCTGTGCAGTGACAAAAATACCATCCATGTAGGGCAGCAATTCCAAGACAGGGTAGAAAACCAATTCAGCAGCACATCACCAGTCATCTGAAGAAAACATCACCCCAATTAGGACACACACTCAACCTGACTATGGATAGGCTGAAACTGATGAGAGAGAGCTGGCACAAAGGCTTCTCAACACCCAGGTGGCCACAACTCAGGGGTACCTGACACCTGGACTCGGTGTCACTCGCAGGAGCTGAGCTCTCGCCGTGTCACTGCTGCAGGGACAGCTCTTGGTCCCTGCTGGCCATGGCATCAGAGTCCCTATGCTCAGTGGGCAGAGGAGATCACTCCCCACCAAAAATGAGGATAGATTTCCAAGGACAAAGTACACAATTTCAATGCACACATACACAAATAGCAGTTGCTGGATCTGCACGTGCCACCCGTCTGTGGCTAACCACAGATCTCTATTGGCATGGTTTAACTCTTTCAAGAACAGTACTGGCCCCCTCCATTTTGACTGCAGATACCTCTCCAGAGAGGAAATGGGAGTTTTGCCCTTCCCTTTGCTAATTTGCATGTATTAACAGGAGACTGATTAGTGTGCTTCATCAGAAAAGGGAGTGTGCCAAAGTGCAGGGGCTGTAGGAATGAGAGCTTGGGTGCAGTGAAGTTTGTCCAAGCCTGGCTGCAGCTGGAAACAGTTCCTGTGGCCTGCAAACAGCTTGGATGCCACTTACAATGAAGTTTCTGATGCCAGGAGTTTCTAAGTCTTGAGAATATGACAAAGCAAAAGCAGCTTCTCTGGAAATCACACAGGCTCCTGCAGAACTGTGGTGGCTGATGCCCAGAGCTCCCCAGCTCCACACCAAAGGGCTCATCCCAAGACTCTGGCTCTCACACTGTCATTGCTGCCAGCAGGACCACAAACAGGACTACAAACGACATCAAGTTGTAATTAACAATGAGCCCAAAGCACCTCACTGGTGCTGGGGTACTTGAGATAACTTTAACCTTCTGATAAGGTGCCCATTGTAGTCATTGTCTTCAAAACCAGCCTGTGGCCTCCACCTCAAGAGTTCTGCATGTAATAAACTGTTTGGATTTTGATATGCACTTGAACAGCAACAACCATTAACTACAGAGACAGGAAAAATGCCTTTGCTACTGGTAAGACGACCAAGTCACGACACTGTTCCTGTAAGATGTCTCACAACCACAACAGCAGTTACAGAGAAGGATTTGCACATGATAAAGAACATCCATTTTTACACAAGGATTGTGTGAAGATGCAGCACTGTACAGCTCCTCTCCCTGGATTATTGCAGCCTTATGCTCATCCAGAATATTCCAGTTCAAACCACTCAGACCAGTCCCACGGGATGTCTGTGGCAGGGCAGTGCTGTATCCAACCAAACCAAGCCATGCCTGGTGTCCAGTGCTGCTCCTTGGATTCTCACACTGATATCCTACAATGAATTTCTGAGCAACTAGGAGTTATTTCTGATTCCAAACACCCAAACCCCTGTGCACTAAGAACAGAGCAGGGAAAGAAACAGGTTTCTGAGGAATGTTTCTAGATATGGCTTAAGACAAGGTATTGCTGTAGCTGCATCCGGCAGGGATAGAGTGAGGAAATCCAATCATGCTGCAGCAAAGATTTTGCAGATAAAACCTATTCATTTGGAGGGTAATCTTCAACTCCCACAAATCCTGCCAAGACACAGCTCCAGGGAATTTCTGGCAACAAGTTGGAAATCAATGCTATTGTGTTTTTGAGTTGGTTTTTTGTGTTGTTTTTTTTCCCCCCAAGAATGCCTCAAACATGCTTGAAAAAGAAGATGCAGGCAAAGCTGAAATCCCACCTACATTCAAGAGAATCTACTAAATGGGATACATTTTCTGAGGGATTTCTTCTGTCTGAGGAAGCTTATGGGACACCTGCAAGGCCAAAATGATACAGCTGGCTTTGAAAAACACAAATGAAGGCAGCATCAGCCAGTGCTTGCAAAAAGCCAGATATGACTGAGTTCTTCACCATCAAAATACATCAGAAGAACTGAATTCTCTCTCCCAGTTCAATCAAGCCTATGGTAAACCTGAGAAAAGACAGTTGGACAGACCTCACTGAGTTGGAAGGAGGGGAAAGAGAGGCCCAGTGCTGCCTCTCAGAGAAGGTGAAAGAATCCAATTGCAAATATACCTGGAGCAAAAGACACCTCAAACTGTTCTGCACACAGAGGAAAATAGTTCAAAGAGTTACTTTGACAAAAACTCAAAATGGCACTGTAAGCAGCAGATCACATTCTTGCCAAGTTTGTTCATGTATTCTGCAAGAGGCAACCCTTGACCACACCACGTGGTATTGTCACTGCTGGCAACACTACCAAAAACTCCCTCTGACCTCTCAGTATGAACGTGACCCTGTCCAGCATAGCTTTTAACCTTATTCATTTTTCCTTTTAATGAACTTCAAGTTTAAGTAGCAGTAACTTCTCCTAAATTAAGGAGTAATTTCTCCCAGTCTACAGCAATTTTTTTAGATTGAACTGTTGAAAAAAAAAGAATCAGCAATTGCTCTTTTGCTTCATTTTACCTGTTGTGGTAAATCTTACCAGTGAGCTCCTCACTGAAGCTTTGAGCATCCTATTGTCTGCTCTGGACTATCCATTGATGTTTAGATATTTGTGCTTCATGTGGGAGAATTTCCACAGCAGATAGTGCAAGTTTTGGATAAAGACACTGGGGAATTGCCTCCAGACATCACACAGGGCATGGCTGCAGGGAACTGTAGGAGCGCTCAGGAATCAGCAAAAATCTCTGTGCATCACCCAAACCCTATCAGAACACGCTGGCAGAAAACTGCTACCTTTTCCAGGATCTCATCACTGGGAAGACATGATATGGAAAACCAGTGCTGCCTTGAGTTCTCCTGGGAAACTATCCACTCCCAGATTTCCCTCCCACCTTCCTTCCTTCACTTGTGGGATACGTGTAATTCTCCAAACACACAGGGGTATCAGCACAGTTATTCTCAGATTTAAAGCTCCATTTCAGCTTTCCCAGGAAAGATGAGGAAAGGGATGTTTCTGAGCACTGCAGATATGCTCTGGCTTTCAGCTGCCTGACACACGAGTCAGTCTGAAGTCATCATACTGATATGGAATAGGAATGTAAACAAAATCAAGCCTTGGAGATCTCACTGTACAGCCTAGACGCCTTTCTCAGAGGCAGATTCCCTCAAACATGGGATGTGTCAAGGGTTCAGGTAAAGGGAGAGGACTAGCAACCATGGTTCTGGTGTGAATTAAGAGCTTCATAACTTAATGGTACTGATTTGTCTGCACAAAGTCTGCTCATGGTAGGGCAATGATTTTATGAACTACTGCTCTACATCAAATCTGAGGTCACCAGTGTTCCCTGTGAGCAGATACTTGATATTCCTGGCTCAGGCCAGGTGCTGGTGCCAGTGGCTCAGAGCTCTGCAGCACAGCTCAGTACTGTGCCACTGAGGAACTGCAAACTCCAAACCTACCTGTGATACAGACCTGTAGCCATCTAGGATGGGTCTGAAATCACCACATTTTCATTTTTACCTAATAACAGGACCTGAATCCAGAACTCTAGAGGTAAAGAGCCAAGGAGTTAACCAGATACATTACTTCACCTTGACCTGCCTTAAATAAAATGAGAGTAAACAACTAAAGTCTGCATCCGAGTGCACCACTTGGGAATGTCTAACAGCACTGAGTCCAGCAGAGAGATGTTCTAACTTGGCTCCTGCATTAGAGTTTGCCTTGGGAATCCTAGGACAACTGACAGACTAGATGATTAATGATAGTTAGGTCAGCCATTCATGGTGTCCCTGAAGCCCCACACCTCCAGGACAGAGATCTGGAAGATTTCAGAGCACAGTGGTTGGTTGTTGAAAGTGTTGCAGTGGCTGGTTCTCCCGTGGTTCAGGTCTGCGTCGAGGTACAGAGCCTGGCCATCACCTCCTCCTGGGAAGAGACAAAGAGAGGATGAGGGGGAGGTCTCTGCATTTCTTAGCACAGGAAATGGCTATACAAACCCAAAATAAAACAAAGACTCAAATGCTTTTCTCATGGCAAAGCCCTCAGTGATGATAGCTTGCTGTCTGTGGGTGTAAGAGTATGATCAAATGTATAGGTTTTAAATGATAATATCAAAACTGGATGATTTCTTCTAATGATAATAAAGAAAAGCAATACAACCCAGTAAGAACAAGAAGGCTGACTCAAAATACAGGTATTTACTGTATTTAAGATTTGTTTTTCAGTGCTGGAGGGTCTTGGAAGCTACCAACTGCAAATTTTCCCTCCAGGAAAGAAAAACCAAATAATTCTGTTAGCAGTTAAAAATCAAAGCTGGGAAAAGAACAAGATCAGTAAGTAACAGCACTGGTTTGATCTTCTAAATCACTATAAATCATGTCAGAGGGAAAAACATTTTGATTATCTGTAGGTCTAGGTCAAGATTCACAGCTAAGGCTGACAAGAAGAACTGGTGAGATACATCACTCGACAACTCCTGCCAGGAGGTGCAGCCAGGTGGGGTCAAGCTCTGCTCCCAGGAACCAAGGGACAGGACAAAGGGAAACAGACTCAAGCTGTGCCAGGGGAGGTTTAGATTGGATATTAGGGAAAATTTCTTCATGGAAAGGGTGTGCAGGTACTGGCACAGGCTGCCCAGGGCAGGGGTGGAGTCACCATCCCTAGAGGGATTAAAAAACTACATGGATGTGGCACTTGAGGACATGGTGGTGGTCTTGGCAGTGCTGGGGGAATGGTTGGACTTGATGGTCTTAGAGGGCTTTTCCAACCTAAATGATTCCATGATTAGATTAGCAATCCTTTCTTATGCAGGAAGACCTGGTTTTGTGGTCACCAAGATTCACCTGGGGGGACCATTTGGTTTTGCAAGGAACACATGCTGCTGGGTGGGAAATCGGCCAACACTTGACATTACAGAGGAAATCACAGGCCACTTGCTCTCCTGACAAGTGTCAAGTAAAGCTTTTTGGGAAAAGGACCTGTTCCTTGTAAATCCCATTTATGTGACAACTTTACTAAGCAGGTTTCTGCCAAAGTCAGCAGCAGCACAGATCCAATAAAGTTCCTGGAGAATTAACATGTTTTATAGTTTACTCTGTGTTTCAAAAGCCTTGGTGCAAAGTTCTTCTTTAAGAAGGAATGGCTGTGCTTAAAGCCACGTGTTACTGTCTTTAAAGTGCTTGTATGCAGGTTCTCCCACAGAAAATATTTGTTGGGTAATATCAGTAATATCACTTTCATTTCTAACTGTTGTGATACTGAAATAGATCAGAGAGTCATCTGTGTTTACCATATATCTAAGGTGGATGGGAAGAGCAGGTAGGATCCCACTGGAGGTATTTAAGAACTGTCTGGACGCAACTCTGAGCCATGTGCTCTAGGGTGACCTTGCTTGAGTAGGCAAGTTGGACCAGATGACCCACTGTGGTCCCTTTCAACCTCACTGATTCTGTGATCTGTGCCCAATTCTCCCCTTGACTCACCTATAATGATGCACTCACTGCTGCCAGCCATGAACATGGAGGCTGTTTTGGAGGGCAGGTTGAAGTGCCGAGCTGCCAGGAAGGGAGAAAGGCGATCTGAGGGGTTTGAGGGGATGCTGCTGGAGGAGAGGCTGCTGGATGCTGGTGAGGAATGGTTTCCTGGCTCTGAACCAGCTGTGGCCAGTTCTGGGTGTTTTATGATCACCCACTCATAGCGTTGTACTTCTGGCTGCAGCTGCAGAGGGACAGAGAAGGGCAGAGTTACTGCAAAGACACTACACAGAGCTCAGCAGAGAACATTCCACCCTCAGCCTCCACCTGCACAGCCAGCAGTGAAGACTGAATCAACCTGTCTTCTTGGCCAGGTGTTATTTTCTTTCTTCATACCTTTGCTTTTTAGCTGACTGAAGAAATGATGCAGTGTTTTCTGAATCCCCTGATTATATCTCTCTCTACATCATCTCTCATTCCCCACCATCTTTCTCTACAACTCCCTGACAAGAGATTGGAGCCTGGTGGGGGTTGATCTCTTCTCCCAGGTAACAAGTGAGAGACAAGAGGAAATGGCCTCAAGTAGTGCCAGGGAAGGTTTAGGTTGGATGTTGGGAAATTTCTTCACTGAAAGGGTTGTCAGGCACTGGGACAAGCTGCCCAGGGCAGTGGTGGAGTCACCATCCCTGAAGTGCTAAAAAAGTGTGTGGATGTGGCACTTAGGGACAGGATTTAGTGATGAACATGGTGGTGGTGCTGGATTGGCAACTGGACTTGGTGACCTTAAAGGTCATTTCCAACCCTGACTATTCTCTGAGCTTTTAAGAAAAGTTCTGTACAAGGGGAGAAAAAGGGTCACTGCAAAGCTGAGAAGAAAAACTTTCTCTTCCACAGTTCAATGAACTTTATAAACCAGGAGGGCATGGAATCTAGACTCTTTAAGGGGAAGGGAAGAGACAGTTAACCAGTACAGTGGTTCTGACTTGCTACTGGGCAGCAACAATAACATTTTACTCACCCTAAAGACAAAGCACTCCCCAGTGCCAAAGAAACTCAGCTTGTTCCCTCCTCGCCGGCGCTCGCTCCAGTCGGTGGACAGATAAGCCCCACAGACCTAGCACAGACAGCATGGTCAGGCCTCCCATTGAAGGAGAAAGTGTGTTAAACCCATTGATACAACATCTCAGAGGCCAGAACTGCAGGCTTTGATTCAGTTTGAGTTTCAGGATCTCTATAGCAGTGGATTAAAGCAGCACAAGTACTTATATCTAAAGATAGATTTAAACTGCTTTAATCCATCTGGGGTTACCCTTAAACCCAGAGTTTCATCAATTATTTCACATCTATGAGGCTTTAAGGGAGAAAAGTTCCAACAGAAGTCCAGGTATCAAAACACAAATCACTCCACACCTGTACAGGCTGACTCCCACTGCCTCACTTTGGTGTCCAAAGCGAAAGTGCTGTCCCAAGTTAGAGTATGAGCAGCTCTGCCTGAATATTTTCTGGTCACAGACAGTGACCTTGGTGCCTTTCTCAAATTTCAAAGTGTAGGCTAAAACCAGCTTAGCTAAGCCAGCACTGAACTAGCTCAGATATTTAGAGCAGCCATGGGCTCAGTGGTCTCCTATACAGAGAAACACCCTCAGAGGGCTGAGCTGCTCTCTGGAACCTTCTGCTTGCACCACAAGGATTCCTCACTACCAGCAATACACATCCCTGCCAAGTGGACACAGACCAAGCAACAAAGCTCCAAGAATGAGATGAAAGTGTCCCCCCTGCAGAAACAGGAAGAACAGTTTTGGTAACACAGAACTGTTCATGGACAGTCATCCTGCAGGAATACAAACCCACAGACTGAAATGACAGCTTCATGTTAGAGGCAGAGTATTCAGAAGTCACTCACAGTGGCACAGACAACCAACACCCCCTCAGGAAGCAGCTGTGTGCCCTCCTGGGGAGGTTCTGGGAAGAATTCATGTTTTATGTATTGTTTTTTTTAAACAAGCATGAGATGAAGCCAATGTTGCAGTTTTCACATTATGCTGTCCAAATTGTCAAGCAAAGAGAGCAGAGATAAGGCACCTGTGTGCTCTCCTCCCCAGGTTCTCAGAGCTTCCTTAGCTTATTCCCCCCCCAATCAAGAAGGAGATGAAGCTATAGCTTTTTTCCCCACATAATCTTCTCCAGTATTATTCATATCATTTAAATTCTGCTACTTTCTCTCCTCATATCCTGGAGAAAATTAAAATATCTTCTATGAATCATGAGTTTCTTCACATAATTACCATCCTGTCCCTCTGATTCTGCAATTCAGAGTCTGCCCAAGAGCAAACTGAGTTACTCTAGTCCATCCTCCCACACTACTTACAAGAGAAAGAGCAGCTGACCAAGACCTGGTTTACAAGATTTACCCAAGTATGCAGTCTCATAATCAACAAATGGAATAATTTAAAGCATGGATTGTTTAAAAAAACCCAAACCCTAAGCAACTTCAGATCCCTCCTTCTTCATTTCCTTACAAACTGTTGTGTGTTGCAATACAGCATTATACATTGCCCAAAACCTAATTTAACCCCTTGTCTTTCACCTCACTCACCTCTTTTGCTGTGGTCTTGATGAGGAGAAGAGTTGGTTCGTGTCCCTCACTGTGGGAATAGAACCTGAAGTGCAGAGCACACAAAAATGAGCACTCAACTACCACCAACTGCAGCTTCCTTCCTCCTCAACATCAGGCACTGTCTCCTCCTCCAGCTGATGCTATGGCAAAAAAACCATCTGAAGACTAAGAATATTCCTGTAAATGCTTTCTGCAGTCCATGTAAATAATACAGCTGAGTGTGAACAAATATAATCAAGCAGTTGTTCTCTACTCAGGCCCCTGTGCAGTTGTTTATGTCTCTGCAGGATAACTAGGAGCCTACCTACCTCAACAGCAGCATTTTATAGCACTTTGAATTAAAACAACCTAAAGGACTGTAAAACAATCCAGGGGACTGGTGGCTGTGTCTGGAGGGTGTTAGGTCTGCACAGAAGCTAATTATGATGCATTCTCTTTGTTTGCTTTTGCTTTTCCTCACAGGTTTGTGAGGCTGAGAGAGCAGATCACTCCCCACCTCAGTACCTCAACTGCTGATGACAAAGTTGTTATCAGGAGCTATAGTTATTGTTTTCTGTGTTAAGTGCAAGCAGAACTCATATCTAGTTTATTCCACTTAAAAAAGATAAATCAGATTCATAGGTAAAGGAATCTCCAGTTTCCCATTCCCTCATGCCTTGGATCAGTTTGAACGTGGTTATCTATCAAAAGTGCCTGTAGAGCAGCCACTGAGTTAAACCAGTCAACCTAGTGGGGAATGAACCAGTCTCAGACCAGCATAATCCATGAACTGATCCAAGTTTGACTTTTCCAATTGGTCTTAGACAGTTTAAAATGACTTGCCCTGTTCTGGCACAGGAAATATCCCAGTCAAATGCTGTAGGCAACAGGAACTTGTCCCATTTACATCCCATCGCTAACAACATTGTTTGGATCAAGTTCTGACTAACTCCTTTCAGTCCAGCAAACACTTCACCAGTTGCTCCTTTTTGCCTTGCAGTAGAGAAGAGAGAGGAAGGTTTTCCTTACCTGCTCAGACTACAGCCATGTTCCAAGGTGGTAAAAAGCAGAAGGGGCTGGCACAGTGCAAATCGCTCTGGGATCCATGACCAGATATCTCTCATCTCTTTCACACTGACAATTTCTGACTTGAAGTTCTCAGCATGAACTGCCAAGTGCACATTCTGCCTGAGAAATACAACACAAATTATTAAGAAGCAATAACATTACTGGATTGTAACAGGCAAAGACAGCTGAACACTAACAGACTCAGTGGATATGATATTATTCAAAGCTCCAGCCCACGGGATTAGAAGGCCATGACCTAGTGAAGGTAACCAACTACTGCAGTTTAACATAATCCTCAGTGATTTGGCCTGAATGGAATACCTGGAACTATTCCTCTGGATGGCAGCTGTGCCCTGCACCTTTATCCACAGAGGACAGCGAGGTGAGCCAGTGAGGATGACCATGACCTTAATGGCACAAATTGTATTTGCTGTTTGAGACAGTCTCACTGGCACAGAGAACAGAACACCTAAAGAAACAGTCAGGATCTGAAAGGAAGGGATAACAGTTTGCCCTGCTCTGAGGTTCTGCCCATATCATGGGATTAGAGAATTCCTAAAACCCTCAGAAACCTTAGAGGAATCAATATTACCAGGCTAAGCAATTTTAATCCAAGGGAAATATTTGAAGCTTTTGAAAAGATCCAGCTCTTGGAAACATGTCATTACCAATGACTTCCACTTCATTAAGAACCAAAGAAGTTCCTGGGATCATGGTTACAGATGAAGCCTGGGAACATGAAGGAATGCTAGACACTGACACTGGGAAAGAAATCCCCATGCCCCCCCGAGAGCTCAGTTATAAGGATTGATTCATGGCTTTTAACACTTGAAGGTAACAATCATCATCACCTTAACCAGCCTTCACTTCCCAGATTAAACAAGCACATTACCCAGAGCCAGGGACTAAATGTGTTATTGCATCCACAGCCAATGTTAAAGACTTCAAATGCAAGGGACACAGCCCAGGACACAAGATCCTGGATCACTGGGCAGGCAGGAGTTAAATGAAGCTTTATCAGTTTGCTCTGCATGCAAGGGTTCAGATGCAAGTATTAGCCTGCTTCTGGTGGAGTTTTTTTGGACAATTACACATCAAGAGGCTCATAATCCTGCTCATCTGCATGTGTCTGGGTAGCTTCTCTCACTCCATATAACAAACTTTAATTTTTTATTCTTTTTCATGCTTCAAGTAACAAAAAAATTAGCAGCATTTGCATTGTGCTTCAGAGCAGGACTCGTTGGAGACACTGGAACTGCTTTCTGAAACCTACTGTAGCTGCCTTAGTGCCAGCATTTCTAACGAAGCAACTCCTTAGGTCACTTGAAAATTATTCAAATTATTGCTTCCTCTAGCAAAACGAACCAAATGATTCCTTGCATTGCTGCTCTGCATTATTTAATGAGCAAGGAGCTTACATGGACACCTACTGAGGCAAGCTGCAACTATTAATGGGTTTAAAACTTACAGTATCACTGACTAGGGACATATTTGTGTTTGTAAACAGCAAGCTAAGGCACAGGAGAGATCCACTGAGATGAAGAATGAGCCAAGCCTTGAACCCACAGCTCCAGAATCTTACTTTAGGTCTCACCCTCCGGATCCTGTCTGGTCTGCAGCTAAAACTGGTGGCACTACGGAACAGAGCTGAGAGACAAAGCCTTAGTTTCAGTTCAGCAGAAATTAGATGGTTTTTTTTCACATCTAAGTAATTAAAAATTATTCAGGGAAGTCAACTAGTCTATTAGACTGAATTTCTGGAGGAAAAGTGATGCTAAATAGGCTAAGAGTTAGTAGCAAATATCAAACCTAGAGACCTAACTCCCCTCAAACCCAAACTGTGTGCTTCCAAGCAGAAATCAAGGCTTTCTGATGCTTTTAGAACTATCTAACTGCAGTGAAATAACACACAGATGCTGAAGATTTCCTTGGCTGGAATGAACAGCCTGCTGATTGATTAGAGGTAAAATCCTCAGCACAGAACTTATGGTAGGAAATATGTTTTGGTAAGTCTCTTAAGATGTTCTCTCATACATGAAAACATGAGGAAGTTAATTCCAACTATGGTTTGAAAAATTAGTACAAATGTTAGTGTGTATCACTCATTAAAGTTAACTCAGGGCACCTGCAGCAAGGCCAGAGGACTCTGAAAGGCATGGATTTAAACCCAAACACCTGTGGTATTTAATACTCACAGGGCAGCCTTTCTCCTTTCCAAGTTGTCTGCTTATCAGGTATCACAATCCACCAGGGTTTGTTCTTTAAGATTTACTTTTCAGGCCAAGACTTGATGAATGACTTCATTAACCATTAATGCTCTATGGCTGAGTAACTCTGACCTCCTTGACACAGTAAGAGTCTTGTCTTCTTGCCACTAAAAAAAACCCACCCCAACCTACTTAAAAATAAATAGGATGTAGTATGAGTAGAGACAGGTCACTTTTAGGAGTGTGCCAAGTTGGGTTCAGTCCAAAATCTTTCCAATTAACTGCAGAAAGCTTGCAAAGAAGAAGCTGAGTATGCCTTGCATCTAATGTGACAGCATATACCAGGTTTGGATGTGGGATGATACCCAACAGCTCTGAAAACATGTTATTTGAGATGTTTTTAAAAAAATAATACTTTTTTCTTCCAGTGTAGAAAGGACCAATATCGTAATGGTTCTTTATAGCCATTTCCATAACCCACTGAGCACATTACCCTTCCACTCTGGAAAACACAGCTGTATTGCTGTGTGAGATGCTATGCTGACTCCTTGGGTCCACAGTCCCTTCTCTTACAGTTTTGCAGGTGCTTTGAACTAACTTTGCAGGAGTATATTCAGGAGATGTGGCACAGCAATAGGATGCTCCAATTGCTGCCCTACTTCTGCCCCAACGTTAGCAGTGACAACAGCCTTGGAACAAACAACCAGTCAAAGAGAGGAGAAATGAGCAAAGTGCAAAGGCTCAAGTGTTTTAACCTACCTTTTGGGAGATGTAAGACTGCAGACAGGAGGGGTGCAGTGGGATGGAATGGACAGAAGGAGAACGTACAGGGAGAAAGACAAAAAAAAAAAGATAGAAAAGATCAGTGACTTCCTACATCCACGACAAAGTGAGTGAAAGGAGCCTGGAGAGAAACAAAGCAAGGTTTGATCTGAGTCACCAAGCACAAGAAAAACAATTAGACAGGTTAAAACATTTCTTGTTCTATTTTCCCCCCCTTTTTTGTTATGTGATTGGAAAATAATTCATTATCTCCTTGCACAGGCCAAACACACCTGGAGAAGAGAACTCACTGGTATCCTCTGGAGCCCTGGAGAACAGCTCACTGCTCCTTCACCCACATCTGCCCACACTGGGATCCAAACTAAGGCAAACTCCCAGCACAACTATTCCTGGGGACACTGAGAAGTTTCAGGGACTTCAATTACACTTTCCAGTTCCTGGGGACACTGTTTCAGGGACTTCAATTACACTTTCCACTACAATCCCAGCAATGCTCAAATTTGGGCTTGCTGCAGAGACACCTGCAGGCACCAGTGGAGCTTCCCCACCAAGGGCTGCCTGACTGCTCCACACGCTGGGAGAGCTCAGGAGATGGCTCAGGCTCCCTGTGGTGAGCCCTACCTTTTCTGCTTGACTGTGATGCCCTTCTGCTGCAAAGCCTTCTCGTTGGCCATCTGCAGCAGCTGGATCTCCTTCCGAGAGAAGAGGCGGATGGAGAAGGCTTTTTCCAGCAGCCTCTCCGGAGACACCGACTTGGCGATGTCCCTCACGAAGCTGCGGATGTCCTGCTGGATGCTGTCAGACTCCATGGGTTGCCCAGCTCGGACTTTGTGAAAGAATTTGAGCAGAGCCAACGCGACGCGGTAGAGAACTTTGTAACCTTCCACCAGGAAGACGTCGAAGACCCGCGCGACGTACACCATGGGCAGCTCTCCAAAGAGCCACCGCTGCCAGTCCGAGTACACCTCCAGCACATCCTCAGACACGGCCACCATCAGCTTGTGGGCTGCCTGGCAGTACTTGTTCACCAGATCACCAAAGGTCATGCAGGAGGACTCAAAGGCCAGGAAGGTCTGGTCAATGAGCCTCTTGGAGGGGTCGTTGCAAGCCAGGATGCGACAGACCTGCTCAAAGCACTCGGCCTCGTCTTTGCTGTAGTGCAGGAGCAGAGCGGTCACCGAGGGCAGCGCGGGGCAGAAGGAGATGTCTGGGAACTGGTTTGCAATGCACAGGATGATCTTCCTGACAGCCCCGATGCCCTCGGCGTTCAGGCAGTACGTGGGCACCAGGCTGTTGTCCACAAACTCTGGAAGAGGAAGGGAACTGCTGCTGCGTTTCCCAACGATCTTCATGACGATGTCGCGGTACACGTTTGCATCTGGGGTCACCGTGCGACATGGGATGTTGCTGATCAGTTTGTGGTACACTTTGGCTCTCAGAGAGTGGTTCTTGGCCCAGTAGCCCTGCCTGGCCAGCTGCTTCAGCTCCTGGAACTCTGTGCAGGTGAGCTCCTTCGTGTCCTGGCTCTGGGCACTCACATCCATTTTGTCCCAGTCCACAAAGCGGTTGTATTCATCCATGGCTCCAGAAGTAAATCAGATAAATCATGAGAACAGAGACCTTAGTTAGTCACTGAATGACTTGCTGCTTTTTCTGCAAAAGGAAAAGGAACAAAAGAGAGGTTTGAGTAACAGGTAGTTTCCCATCTCCTTTAGGAAGACACACACACACGTGTACACTCAACTTCTTGCAGTGCCAAAATTGTTTCCTGAAGTAAAGAAGATTAAAGATGCCTCTTTATTTTCAAGCCAAACTTTCCTTCCATTCTGTCAGTACCTCCTCCTGCAGAAATTGATCAATGACCAGAGGCTGATCCTAAGGAGATCTCCCCAGGAAGTTAATTTCCCTAACCTGATCAATGACCAGATGCTGATCCTAAGGACATCTCCCCAGGAAGTTAATTTCCCTAACTGAAGGTCCAGGCTGAGACACAGACCTTTAACATCTCACTTAGAGAACAGAAAATTTGCACTTCAAAAATATCCGTTGTAAAGTCTGTTCAATGTGCAATCTCTCTGCCCAGTTCTCTGGAGAAATAAGTGCTAGTTACACTAGCAGGATGCAGCCTCATGAGTAGTTTAAGCTGTTCTGACACTGTGTGGCCAGTGAAAAGAGATGCCAAGCTCCTACTAGCCATGGCCATGTGCTCTCAGTCATTTGCCTTGGTACTAGCACTTGTGTGGTCAGAGAGTCACTAAGATTAGCTTGTAAGTCTGGAACAACTTTTCCATTATGTAAGCAAGATCTCTCCACAGAAAGGGTTGTCAGGCATTAGAACTATCTGTCAAGGTAGGTGGTGGAGACACCATCCCTGGAAGTGTTCAAGAAATTACTGGATGTGGCACTTAGTGCTGTGGTCTAAGCTGACAAGGTGGTGGTAAGTCCAAGGTTGGACTTGATCTTGGAATTCTTTTCCAACCCGTATGATTCTGTGTGCAGCTGTGCAGTCAGGCAGATCATTGCTCATGCCAGAACTGCAGGACAGAACTCCCTTCCTGACTGCAGTACAGGCTCAAATCAGCTTCAAACAGCTTCATTACAGCACTTATATTTTCTCAGTGCTGCTCTGGTCACTGGCCACGGCCTGTCACACAGGCACACAGCAACTCTCCCACTAGAGGGCCTGCTGTCCCCTGCACTGGAGCTGTCACAGACACCTCTGCTGTCCCCTGCATTGGAGCTGTCACAGACACCTCTGCTGTCCCCTGCGTTGGAGCTGTCACAGACACCTCTGCTGTCCCCTGCACTGGAAATGTCACAGAGATCTTTGTGACAGCACCAGGAGCCAAAACATCAGGTTTTGGCCTCTAGTGCCTCACACCACATGTTTCCCTGATCTACCAGCTGACTCCAGGTTTAAAACACACCTGTGTCCCAGCAGACAGTGTGGCTGTGCCCACTAATGGCCATAACCAAACCAGCTTTAATCAGTCAGTGCAAAAACCAAACCAATAAACTCCACTAATGTCAGCAGGTCTGCCCAGTGCTGTCCATCTCTGCCAACATGCCCTCAGTGCCAGACTGAACATGGCTGTGGATGCTGCACACTCTGCAAAGCCAGACAATCCTTATAAAATGCAACAGGCCTATAAAACTGTTTTGTACAATTAAGACATTATATAGCAAGGTTAAACCAACAAAAACAGTTACTGAGAGGTTTCCAAAGAACCCTTAGTCTGTGTTGACAGACTGGAGAATGCATGGAACTTGTCATTTATGAACATGGTCTTCCATAGAACAGGTGCATTAAAATAATTTGAAACTCCTGTGGTAGATATACCATTAAGGCAGACAGCTCTCACCCTCCCTGCTTCACCACAGGGAAGTAAACCAAACAATTTCCCTGAAGCAGCCACACATTGAATCCAGACAGTTTAGGATTCTGAGTAAATACTACTATGGGTATTTTGGAATCACACGCTGAAACTCCAAAATTTAACTCCTCTTTCAAATGGTTGGCAGCAACACACAGGAGCCTTTCAGAGAAGGCTTTTGGATGGCTCTTCTCTGCCATATTTACTTCAGATTTTCTTCTAATAAAAAGAAGATTCTTTTTGAGTCATCTTTGTACAATGCAAGAGCAATACAAAAGTGCTCACCATTTCTTTCTGTTGTATTCTTCCACATCTGAAGTTAATTCTCAGAGTGTAATTAATGGAGGCAACACATTGTCCTGACTCCAGTTCTGAAAGTGAGATACCTCATGGGGCTCAGCAGTGAGGTCTCAGTGTGAGCTGAGAGCATGTCTCCAGGAGATGCAGGGGCAGCAGGACACCAGTCCATCACGGAGTCAGCGTCAGCTCCGGGGAAGTTAACATTTTCCTGTCATTCTCCACCTGGGAATCACAGAAATACCCATTATTTTTAATTCAAATCCTGCAATAAGATCCTTGTGGAGAAGAGAAATTTAATCCTGTTTTGCAGGAGATGAACCATTCTGCTCATGGACACATCAGCATAGAAAGTCTCATTGCCCTGTGCTTGCTGGAGTCTGCCACCATCCCCCTGGGAGCTGCTTGGATTTGTATTAGGGAGGGTTAAGCAGAATGTCTATCATACACAACAACTTCTAAGATACTCAGAGTTACATCTTGGCTGTCTTCTTATTTCCTGCAAACTTTCTTCTCCCTCCTCCTTACTCCTTCCTGTCTGATTTTCTTTCTATCATTCAGAGACACAGGCAGAGTTAGAGGCTGCATCACACAGTCACTTTTCCCTCTAGAAGTCACTGCCCATTCCAGAAACTAATGAATTTGCTGAGTATGTGCTCCTGAAGCTCCCTGAAATGCGTGGCTAGAGGATGGCACTCAGACTGCCAGAAGTTTGGATTTGAGCTTACAGTTTTATACATACTTTGGCTGGGATAAATCTGCTGGGTCTGCAAGTAGGTCTGGCTGCTTGTGCTTTTTACAGCTCTAGATGCTGCAAGAAAAAGTGACAGCAAAGCAAATGGGCATTGTCAAGGTTGCCAGAGCACGACCAGCTCTTAACTGTGTTTGCAGAACCAACAGAACTTGTGCTTCAGTGCAATGGTGCATAGCTCCTGGTACTGTGCCAGCAGCTACTATAAGCCAGAAGGCCTCAAACAGGGAGGATTCACTTGCCAAAGGAGAAGTGCCCAAGAAATCCAGCCAGTCTTCATCTCCTCCTCCCATTCCTTCTGAATCCTCCTCCATCCCTCCCTCCTGCAGTTGCAACTTCTCTCTAGGCAATAATGTAAAGAACTTTGGGCTGGTGGGAAGAGGAGACAGAAGTTGTCTTGCCCTTTGCAGCCAAGAGGCAGTGAGTCAGGGCTGTCTCCTGCCCATCCCTCCTGCCACGAGGGAGCAAGCAGGCAGTATAGACTCATATTTGGAGGAACAGGAGGCTGGAGTTCCACCTAAGCAGCAAAACTAGAGGAGGATGGCTGTGTAGGAGTCCAGCCTAATTACCTCATTTTTATGTATAAAGAAGGGGCAAGGCACAGGCTGAAGAGAAAAAAACATTTCAGAATGAAACGTTTGCATAATGATATGATTAAAGGCAGGGTTAATATAGTCTTACGGCCATTATTGCAACAAACTTTCTTCCCCTGTTGCTGAAGCAGCTTTAGAGAAGTCAGCATCATGTTGTGGTAAATACCCTCTGACTGGAGATGGGGTTAGGGTTCCAAGAATCATGGTAACTGGCACCATTTCAACTCAGTGACTGAACTTTCAGGAAATACTTAGCTTGCTAGTCTAGCCACATTTTCCATTCCATTCCCTGAGCCCTTCCCATTGTCATCTGGGCTGCTTTCAGGAGACTGCAGAAAACTGCTTGAGTTTGTATAAAACACACAGCAGTGCAGCCAAGTGTGACAGGCAAATTCCCATCCTGCCTGTGAAGAAATTCTATAAAAGCATCTAAAAACACATCAACAGGAAGAAAATATTTAAATTAAGAGTTACCTTTGTTATGGGCAATATTAGGCTACAGTTTTACTAAAGATAACATGACTGGGGACAGCTGTTATGAAAGGGTTTTTTCTTGTTTGTTTGTTTTGATTTTTCTTTCCAAAATGCAGGAACTAGAAAACTGAAATACCTGAAGTACAACTAACTCAGAGGACAATTACTCCTTTCAAATCCAGAGCACATGCACTACTCCACAGAAGTGAAATATTTGCAGTCTAAACTTCTTAAAAATCAATTCCAACTTTGGTTAAAGCCTGAGATTGCATGATTTGATATTGGTTTTAGTAAAAACAAGTCCTAAAGAACCAAAATACAATTAGTCAGGAAAACTTTGCCCTCTATTCCACCTAGGTACTCCTGCAACTTGGTGTTCTGAAAATCTGACTACAGTTTAAAAGCTTATTAAGATACTTCATTAAAATCTAGTGTAGCTGCTCTGTAACAGGAACCCCCAAACTTCGGAAATAACATTTTTCATCTTATCCATGGGCAGTTACACCATCTTGGGTTCAGCTCTTTGCTATGTGTTGTACAGATAAAGCTAGATAGCAACAACCAACATTTGGTGTGCATTTTCATAAGGTGCTAACAGAAAGCAAATATTCCCTTTTGCTACCCTGCAAAGCAAGACTAATGGTAAACCTCCAGACCTGCAGCATATCATTTGCTGTTTATACTACTGAGCAGGGGTGCAGACAGTGAAAAGTCTCAAATTTAGTCTTTTCATAACCTCATTAAACTAATCCACACAGAAGGGACATGAATGGATGAGAACTGCCTCCACAAGAATGTTCACTGTTAGTCCTCATCCCAGTAAGAGAAAACTCATCCCAGAAGTCCGAGTAGATGACTTCCATCCTTGAGGAATACTCAGCTACCTCTGAGATGTTTGCTTCATACACTGAAGAGCCTGACAGGAGCACAAAGCAACACAGCAACAACTGCAGAACAAAAGACAACTGGCAAGCAGCTTCCCTCTCCTCCCCCAGCATTTCAATGCATCCTGCAGCTTTCCCAAGCCTGGACTTACCAGCAGCACACCTTGCAAGCTCTGGATTTGGAAACAAGTCTGAACACCACAGTTC